TGCCAGACATTTCTCCAGCCTCATCCACACCCACAGCTGCACACCAGTTCTCTTGATGCACAGAGCTGTCAGAGCCAGGAGCTGAAACCAAAGTGCACCCTAAAATCCCATGCATCCTGGTGCGTCCACCAAGCCTCCTAGAATCTCAGCCAACACCCGAGCGTAAAACCTATAGCACATAAGCCGCTGACCACCTATCATCATCAGCTCTGTCCCGGAGTAAAAAAAAGAAGAAAAAAAGAGTCTCTGCTCCTACCTGAGGGTGGCGCTCTCCCCTTGCCGGACGGTCACGTTGTCCATCGCCTTGGGGAAGGTGGTATCTCCGCTGCGCACTGGCACTCCTGCGGGCACAAGGAAGAGGAGCCTGAGAGACAGGACGACCAGGCACCGCCAGGGCAGGACTAAGCACCCACCGACCCCCATCCTGGGCTTTCCTCAAGGCAAAGATATATATATATTTATTAAAACAACCAGAGAGATGGATGGAGATTGGTTTGACAGGGACACCTCGCGGTGCCAAGTGTGGGCACAGAAGGGGAGGAGAGAAAGTGACGATGAGGAGGGAGAGGGCGGCGGAGCCTTTAGAAATCCAGTTTTTGGGTTTGTAGCTTTAGAGATCCGAGCCTCCCGAAAGGCATCCAGCGGAGTCCCAGGGAGGAAGAAGAAGTGGCCCCCCCAAGGTGGCCAAGTTGCTGCGCGCCTCACAAACCAGAGCTTCCGATCAAGAGTTCGTGCATCTCACTTTGCTGGAGGAGGTGCGCTGCGCTCCGGCGCGGTAGGGCACAGCCGGCACTCCGCAGCCGCGCAAGGCGACGCGCTCCAGAGCGGCCCCTCCGGCCGGAGTTCCAAAAATTAAAACTCCCCGCAGAAGAACTCGGGGAATGGGTGGGGCGAAGAGGGGGGGAAGCACCCCCGGAGTAATCTCAGAGGGAGAAGCGACAGGCCTCCTGCTCCAAAAGCCCCGACGGTGCCACAAGGCAGGATACAAGGGAAGGTCCGGCCGGCTGCCGCTGCTGCCCGGCGCTGCGGCTCGTGGTCGGGAGCGGATAGGAGCCTCTTCCCGGCTCAGCTGTGCTCCTCGCCGCCACTCAGCGAAGGGAGGCTGCGAGGAAAGACATGGCAAAGCTGGCGGTGCCGGCTGTTGCTGCTGCTGCTGTTGCTGCCTGGACCAGGGCTAGGTTCAGCATCCCGGATGCGCTCTGCCTCCTGGCTGGGCGCATCTCCTCCTCTGCCGAATCGCAGCCTCTCGCGCCGGCTCTCCGGAGCACACACACGCATCGGCTTGCAGGGGTTGTCATGGCAGCAACTCCATCATTGCTGACCAGCACTTGGGCTCCGCGGCACAGGCAGCGCCGCTCAGGAGCGCAGACTTAGCACATTAATCTCAGCCAAGGACACCGGGGATGGGGGGGACTCCCTCGCGGCGCCGGCGAGTGCACCTTGGGACGCAGGAGAAGGGGGGGCTTCTTAACCCTTGCGGGCCCGCTCCCAAACAACTACCTCGCCGTGTGTGTGTGTGTGTGTGTGTGTGTGTGGTATTCGAGTCCTGCATTTCTCTTTATAAGCGGCCGCGGAGCTGTTGGCACTGCGACCTACTATCCTGAAGTCGGACGGGGGTGAGGGTGGAGGGTGAGTGAGTCCAGAGCGTGGCATCCAGCCAACTTGATGGATTTTTATTTGAACCCTGGGCTTTCCTCCCTGTCCGCCTCCATCCGCTCTGGAAGTGGATAATGCAGGGTGAGGATGGAGTGGCGCAGAGACTAAAGTGCAGGAAGAGTGAGGTAGGAATCCCATTTGGATGATAAACCTGCTGGAGGCAAGCCACTCTTTTTCTCAGGCCTCAGTTTGCCCAGCCTGAAGTATGGGAATAATGATGGCTAGTTATTCTAATAGTTGTTTTGCATATGATGATGTTTTATATCACACCCTGTGTTTCTCTACTGAAGAATAGCTGTCTAAAAGTCTTGAATAATAATAGTAATAGTAATAATAATTCTACCTTACAGGGCTACCCTATTCCTGTAACTTTTTTAAAACCCCTTTAATGTTTAAGTTTTCATTGTTGCATCCTGAACTGGGACCTGATGGTGAAGGATGGGTAATAAAGCAAATAAATATGTAAATTAATAATATGAAAATTACTGTTAATAGGAAAATGCCCAGAGCACTCAAAGAATCGCTAGATACATTATGAGCATGATGGAAAGAAACACAGCTGAAACTGCCAGGCATTTTCTGTTCCATGCTAGATGCCTTGAAAAAGGTGTTGACACTACACACCTTGCTCTTTGCTACTGCCCTCCAGCTGGGAAATTTATTTACTACATTGTATGGTCAGCCAACCACATATGTTCTCTGGGCATACAAGTGAAAAGAACAAAACTGCAATATTAAAAGTACAATGCAGAAGCAGCATGGAAAACTTTTCGCTCTCCCTCAGATATACAACAAAATACAAACCATAGAATCATGGAATTCTAGAGTTGGAAGGCACCCTGAGGATCATCTAGTCCAACCCCCAGCAATGCACCTGGCCCATACAGGGATCAAACCCAAGACCTTGACATTGTCAGCATCATGCTCTAACCAACTGAGAGGTCCAGTTAAAAGAAAAGACAAAAGGGTTAGGACATGTTCATCTAGTGCAAAAAGATTATATGGATTGTGTCTCCTAGGCTGCTTTGAGGAGGCTGTTCCATGACATAGATGCCACCATTGGGGTACCCCACCTACAAATATGTGTTTTTTTTAACAGAGGTAGGACAACCATCTTGCCAGGAATTCCTTGGGCGTGACTCCTATATAGCTTGATGACCCTCCTCGTCCCTCGCAGCTCTACATGGTCTCTTCCAATTCTAACAATTCAGTAATTCTATATTGCAGCTAGTTCACAGTTAGCAACATGTATGGGCAGACGCAGCCCACATTGTTCAGACCACCTTGCCAGCAGATGATGATAGGCATCCCCTCCCCCCGCATTGCTATTCTGCCCACTTTACAGAGTGAGAAACTGAGGCATGATTCACAGCTAAGAAAGTCACTGGCTGCTGGAAGTCAACTCTTCTACAACAAGACCTGGGTGCGATCATTTCCAGCACTGAGTGCTTCCAGATGACCTGTTTACTGACCACTCATCTCGATATGTTTGCAGGAAGTTAGACAGAGTCAGCTGAGCATTCACTCTTATTTGTGCAGAGGTTAGACAGTGTTGCATGGATCAAGTATGATCTTTCCAGTGCATTTTCCCACCTCTTTCCTCATCACAAAAAGTCTGATTTGGGGGAGTGGAGGGGAATCGGTGTCATTGTACAAGAGCCCTGAATCAACCTTAATTGTTCAACCCAAAATTTCCACTTTGTGATTGAATCTCACCTGAAAATAGCAACAGCCAATGAGTGTTTCATTTCCCTCTTCCTAGTCTGCCTGCCGCCAAAGGCAGCCAGCTCAGTTAGAAGCTTTCCTATCTTACAACTCAACAGCATCCCATTTGTCTATAAGTAGCACACTCTTACACTCTCTGCTTCTTTGCTAACTGAATTATTATTTCTATATATAATCGCCTGCTGGTAGGAAGTGCAAGACATAAACAGTCCCAGGGGATTTGAGTCCTTTATCCTGAGGAGAGAGCAGCAAAGGCAAGCTTCAGGAGTCAGCAGCCCCCTTTACTTACCCTTCCCTTGGCCCGGCTGCCAGAGCCATACATTTCACTCGTCTTTGGCAGCCTTTCCAGGTGCCACAAAATCAATCTAAGATGCTTTTCTCTCTCATACTAAATGCTCAGTCATTTGGCTCAGATCAGGATCAGCTCCCCCATGAGTTCATCTAGGCTTCAGGCCACAAGCACACCACACATTTAAATCACTGTGATGGTTACAATTCCTAAGGACTGTAGTTTGTTAAAGGGGCTGAGAGCTGTTAGGAGACCTCCTGTTCCCCTCCCAGAGCTACAAATCCTAGGGTTGTTTAACAATCCACCCCCCCCCTTCTCATGAAACTCTGGGAATTGTAGTTCTGGGATAGATTCCAATCTCCACTCAGCCCTGAAGCTGGCTGGGTGGGTGACTGGCTTGGGCTAGTGGCAGTCTCTCATCCTTACCTACCTCACAGGGTTGTTGTGAAGATAAAACAGGGGAGGGGAGAACCATGCATAACCACTTAGAGCTCCTTGCATGAAAAGGTGTTATAATAAATAAAATTAAAGAAGAGGAAATGCACCAGCAACCCAACATAAATTTTCATAAAATTTGCATATGTCAATCTATATATATATACCTTAGATGCATTTTAAAAAATATAAATATAAATGCAATACATGTCACCAAAGTTGGGATCACTGTGACCAGGTGACCTCTGTGCTTGCATAATCTACTCTCGAGGTGCCACTCATGGGAAGCTTCAAGAGCCCTGTTCCCTCCCTACTTAGGGTTCTTTGGGTGGTATCCAACTAATGTGTTTCAGTGCAAGGATTTCCACTGTTGCAATTAGGCTCCAGCCCTTTCCCTCCTCCTATGCACTCCCCGTGCCCTCCTCAAATCTGCTCTGGAGGGTTTGGGGGGAAACCCCAAAACAGATATGGGGTTGGGGCAGAGGCAGAAATACCATACTTGCACTGATGGAAAGCTTGCTTAGCACTACCATGGATGTAACCTATTATCTTTAACCTGAGCATATAGTCATTCTAGGCTGCGGAGAACGGCAAAGTTTACAGAATTCTAAAAAAGGAAACTGTGTGTGTGTGTGTGTGTGTGTGTGTGTAGAAAACATTAAGGAAGCAATTCCCTTGATGAAAAAACACACAGAGAAGATAGACCCATGAGGAATGACCACAGGATGCAATGGAGTATCCTGGGGAGAGGATCCAGGTGCAGCTTGTCTAAAGTGGCATGATGTTCCCAACACTGACCATCCACAAGAACAGCCTGCTGGATCAGGCCAATGGCCCATCTACTCACAGAATCACAGAATTGTAGAGTTGGACAGACCACAATGCAGGAATCTTTCTCCCAACATGGGGCTCAACCCCACGACCCTGAGATTGAGAGTTTGATGCTCTCCCAGCTGAGCTACCCAGCATCCTTTTCTCACAATGGCCAACCAGATGCCCATAGGAAATCAGCAAGTCGAACCTGAGCACAAGAGCAACTCTCCCCTTCTCCACTTTCCAGCAAGTGGTATTCACTGCCCCCAACCATAGAGAGAGAACATAGATATCCTGGTGAGATTCTCCTCAGAAGCTTACAGGCAGGGCAAGAAGGCAAGGTTCCTTGACATCTTGTATGCACAGCGACACTGCCCCTGAACATGGAGGTTCAATTTAGCTGATAGCCACTGAAAAGTATTCCTCAATTCTCTCAACGTGTGAAAGGATTGAGGTAGGAATGATAGCTGTTCACATTGTTGACAGCAGGCAAGGGGTACCTTTCTCAGCCTGAGGGCCACATTCTCTTGTAGGCAACATTCTGAGGGCCAAAGAAAAATGGTGGGCAGGACCAGACACGAAAGTGGGTGGGGCGCTGAATGAATGTTTTAAAGTCTACACATACTCACACACAGAACCATAGGTAGGTGATCTTGCGCCCCTGGCAGAACCATCCAGATTGTGCCCCTAGCCATGGACATGTTAGCTCTTCTTTCCGCCTCTCCTCCAAACCCAACCCCCTCCATCCATTCAATTCACCCTCTATTTAAAACATTTTCTTATGAGGCAATAATTGATATTTTTATTTATAGACATATTTATGGACATATTTTTAGTCAATTTTGTGTCCCCTCCTCACTTGCGCCACTGGCGGGGGCTCACCTTGCCACCCCCTAGCTATGGCCCTGCCCACACACCCCTCTCCATCTTCTGTCCAGGCCAGCAAGACAAAGGATCGGAGTTCAAGGACACATTCCAGCCAGACTAAAACCCTTGAGGTGCAAAGCAGGGCCAGGGATGGGTGTAGCCCAGGAAGAATTATGAGGGCCAGTTAGAGAGGTCTAGAGGGCAGCATTTGGCTGAGGTTCCCACCCTAGGTTTACAGCAAATAAAGGAACCCTACAGGGGGAAACAACAACAACCAAGGTCTTCTTTTGTTTCCTTTGCAGGTTAGTCCCTAACTCCCAGCCATTTCCATAGCTAAAAGGGAGGCTTTGGAAAATGCACCCACTCCTTTGCACCCGGGAGTCCGCAATTCCACGCACGTCAGGCACCTGCTGGCTATCAGCCATCTCCCACCTTATTAAAAATTGCAACCAACACGAGTTGGATTCCAAACTGGTGACCTAGATGTGAAAGGATCCATAGCCCCATTACTAATCCCCTGAGTCATCCAATACTCGGCAAACTATTATTTAATTCGCTAACTGTGCTATTTAATCTCAAGCATTCTGAGATACGCCAGGCAGAGAAGACACTCTATAAAATAATAAAGCTTTATTATTATTGCTTGTGCTGATGGGTCACAAGAGGAGGGGATTTCTTTCCAAGCCTGTTTATTTCCTCACTTTCCAATCTCTTTTTAAGATTACTGAGTGCGTGGCTTTAGCACTTGTGAAAGAATGTGGATTAAGAGCCTGGGAGAATAAAGCATGGAGAGGTTTTGTTTTGTCTTCTCATGGTCTAGTGGGCGAGGGGGGAGAGAGAGAAGGGGGTTGGGAATCAACGTTGCACAGTCCAGTAGTTCTAAGCAGAGTTGTAAAGCAATCATTCCCATCTGGAAGCAAATATTTCATTCTAAAAGGGGTGCAGAACATTTTGTAGCCTGAGGGGGCTGCAATCCTTCTGTGCAGGCTTCTGGGGGCCGCATGCCAGAAGAGGGCAGGGCCAGAGGCTAAAGGGGATGGTGCAATTAATGCAATTTTCTAACTCTGTGCAACAGGCAAGCAAGAAGCATTGCCAGACACATTCCAGCCAGGCAAAAACACTCAGGGAGGAAGTGCGGCAAGAGCAATAGGGGGTGTGGCTGGGGAGGGAGGTGGTCTGGGCAGAGTCCCAAGGATCAAATGGAAAGATGATTGTTCTTGTTACTATTATTTTATTTATACACCACCCATCTGACCGGGTTGCCCCAGCCACTCTGGGTAGCTTCCAATATTTATAAAAACATAATAAAACATTAAACTTCAAAAACCTTCCCTATGCAGGACTGCCTTCAGGTATCTTCTGAAGGCTTATAGTTACAGTGGTACCTCGGGTAAGAACTTAATTCATTCTGGAGGTCCGTTCTTAACCTGAAACTGTTCTTAACCTAAGGTACCACTTTAGCTAAAGGGGCCTCCCACTGCTGCTGCACCGCCAGAGCATGATTTCTGTTCTCATCCTGAAGCAAATTTCTTAACCCGACGTACTATTTCTGGGTTAGCAGAGTCCATATCCTGAAGCGTCTATAACCTGAAGTGTCTGTAACCCGAGGTACCACTGTACTTATTTCCTTGGCTCAAGAGTCGCATAATTCCATACCCTCCAACACTTTTCTGATGAAAATAGAGATGTCCTACAGAAAAGCAGTACATTATGGGATCAAATCAGAAACTCGGGCAGCTTCTGTAAATCCAAGACTGTCCCTGGAAAACAGGGACACTTGGAGGGCCTGCGACAGGTTGCAGGACTTTGGAGCAAATGTCAATTTGAAGAATGGGCAAGAAGTCAGAAGCACTAGCTTACTTTATTTTTTAAGTAATAAATATACATTATAACTCTAAAAATGACCTCCCACCTTGTCAGGCCATTAAATTCACTGTCTAGGCTGCATATGAGCTATAGATTTAAAGCGCATGCCTTCCCACAAACAATGCAGGGAACGGTAGTTATTAAGGGTGCCAATAATTGTTAGTTGACTCTCTCGTAATCCATGGCATGCCCTGCACCTTTGTCAACATCTGATCCATACATTTAAAGAACATGGCTTCCCCCAAATAATCCTGCAAACTCTATTTTGTTAAGGGTGCTGGGATCATAATCCTGCAAGGGATAAACTACAGTTCCCATGATTCTTTGAGGGAAAGTCATATATGCTTTAAATGTATGGTGTGCATGCAGCCTTAAATGACTTACGTGCATTACTGCAGAGAGGAAAATGTGTGGTCGGAATGCCCCTGTGCTCACAGCAAGGATCGCTATCTAAATCCACCGCCAACCTAACACACACTTTTTATTACTCATTGCTTGCTGAAGAATTTTCTCTGCCAGCTGTTCATTTATTTTGCAATAGCCTGTTCAGCACTGTTTTCTAAACAGTAATCTAGCAGTAGATTCTGAAGTGCAGAAGCTCATCATGACAGCCTCATAGCCATTGTGGAGGAGAATCCATAGTCTCTCTCCCTCTCCCTCTCCCACACATTCACACCCCATCCAAAAATGCAAGCAGCATAGTTATCCCACCTCTTAAGGCCCATTGGTTCCTCATTTGGTGAACACCCCACTCCACCCCACCCACCATTCCATGCCTGCCATTAGCTGCCCTGCCTAGTGCCCCCAGTTATCAGGAGCTATCACTGTTTGCATGTATGCATGCATGCACTAAGATGCAATTTGTAGATACACAGGAAGGAGCAGAAACTAGAATTCTTGCTACCTCCCCAAGAAGCAAAATAGGGTCAAAGTGATAGGTAAGGAACTATCCTTGAAATATCAGGATCACTAGAGAGAATGCTTTTTTTCAATTGGTGCTTTGGACGGTGAGTTTTCTTTGGTCAACAGAGTTTTGGGACACTTCCAAATGGTTGGATTATAGCCTGGGTTAGTTGTTGGCATCCATCGGTCTTGAGAGAAAAAGGAGTGTCTCTCCAGGGGTGAAGTCAAATCACTGCTTAGCAGCACTGAAGTGACCTCTCCAGGGTTTACGTAAGCCTGGGCAGTGTGTATGGAGGTCCTGGGCTGCCCAGACTACAAGACTTCCTTCTCATCCTTGCTGACGTGGTCCAAAGGAAAGCAGAACAATACATATGGCGTCATCTTGGCAGCAGGAGCTGCCAGGAGGACTTTTATTCTCCTGAAGATGTCTCTCAAGGCAGCAGGTATGGCTTTTTCCTGGGGGATTTACTCCTGAAGCCTTTCTCATGAATGTGCATCACCACAAGGCAGTGGAGGTTTAAGACCAGAGTTTTCCTTCTCCTAGATGGGCTTCCTTCCCAGGTTGACGAGCCCCATCTGCCCTTCACTTCCCTCTACAACATGTGCAGAAACCACCTTCTTGACATTGGACCCACTATTGGTCTTGTCCGCTCAATCCGCTGGAGACTTATCTTCACATGCTGGGGAAATCCCTAATCCACCAGGGGTTTGTGACTCATTGACTACCCTCACCTGGTTTAGCCAGCCAATAGAAGACATTTCCTGGGGTGCTGCCATTGTCACATGTGGACAGCTTCTAGGAGCCACAGGTGAGAGCTGAGTGCAAGTAGGGACCAAAGGTGGACAAACTACCCCAGAAGGAGCATGACCAGAGACAATCACCTTCTCCTAACACCCCATACTCCCCACCTGGCTTCATAGGACTTCCCCAATAGCCAGAACATTCTCTCCCCCCTAAACTGGAAAAATAAATAGATCCTCATTTTATGCTGATTTTGCTTGAGGGGCTCAATACAACTGAAGCTTTGCGTTGTGCAGCCAGGTGTGCAAAGCAGATTTGGGCATGGTGAGCAGGTGTGGGTTGGGAAGAAAGGAAGCATAAGCTGGAATTCAAGCGAAAATGCTGTTGGTGCACTATTATAATTTTCTTATAGAACATTACAAGCTGAAAGGAGGAAAAGGAGGAAGGGGAATTGAAGGACCTGTCTTTCATGTAACTGCCGCCCACTGAGTGGTCTTGACCATTGAACTTTACATCACACTTTCTCGTCACCCCCACCTTGAGGTTTAGAGACTGGAGCATGAATGAACAATTGCCAGAAGGTAAGTCAAGGCAACAGTATGTATGCACAGGTTGTGTTGTGGTGCAGCAGTGGTGGCTTGTGCCCTTTGGAACTGGCAGAGTGTACCTTAGGGAGGCTAACAGTAGGTGAAGCCAAAGGCAATGACACTTTGAACCACATCCAATGACAGGCAGTGTCAACTAATATTAGTTTTGTTCCCATTGTCCTTCCTGTTT